ACAAAGGCAGATGGGCAACCCGAAAAACAACTAAACCGCAGACAGTATTCAGCAATGTACATCGCTGAACACATCGGTCGAACAGTTAGACTGACATGTCCAGCGATAAATGTTGCTGTCCTGAACTCTACAGCTGGGAATGCTTTTCACCCAGCGAACACAATAAGGTTCGTTGGTTGAACCTTCTAGAACCGGGTACAGACCGAATGTAAACCCGGAGGTTGCGAACTCGCGAAGGCACATAACCAATTACCCGCTGTCCTCAGTGATGGCGCAGTTCCACCAGCTCTTCCAGAAGCACAACACTGCCGTTCCTTCGAGTGCGTTGGTAGAAAGACTCTTCAGCGTCGCTGGAGATGTATTTTCAAGGAAGCGGGGAAACATAACTGATGAAAACTTCGAGAGGCAGCTACTGCTTAAATGCAACAACTACTAAAAAAAAAAAAAAAAAACATGAAACAAAAACAGTTGTGTATTTGGTCGTCACAGTAACGTGAAAAGTAACTCGTTACTTTTGAGGTAACTCTCGCATTCCTTTTGAGAATCGGTAACGAGAAACATACTTAGTTACATTTCGAGCGAGTAATGAGAAACAGTATTTAGTTCATTTTTTTGGGTAACGTGTACATGTCTGTGGTATATCTTTTGGAGGCCTTTCATGTCTTTCGCGGAGGCAACAGGAAGCAGTGCTCGGAGCTTCGCCAGATGATTTGGCTCAATCCTTCGTTTATCACCGAAGCGCATTGCATCGTCGTAGCAGGCCTCAGTTGCCTGCAACCCAGCGATGGCCGCCGCCGCTGGTCCGGTGACATGGTTGCGCAGGTACTGAAACTCGTCCGATCGTGGAATGCTATCGTTTTCGTGGAGAGCACGACCGAACTGCTCCCAGAAGCTCTGCCACGCGCTGACCTTGTCGTTGAAAGTTTGAAGTCATAACTTGGGAAGCTTTACGCCGCTAGTCATGTTGGTGCGAGTTCTTCCCAGGTCTGTAGTAGCAGTTGCAGATGTTGTCACGGATGTGGTCATCTGGATGGCCTGTGCCTGTTGTTTTTTACGTCTCATTGAGTCAGCCTTGCAGTCCAACAGCACCATCATTCGAATGGCCTCGTCGTCATACTCTGTGACTGTAGTGTATTCTGTGACGAGATCTTGTTCCGATACAAGATCTTCTGTCTCCACGTTCAACTCTTGAAGAGCCCTGTTATTGGCCTTCAGCCTTTCTAGCCAGGCAGTCAGCGATGCCAGGTCCGCTGTCTCCATCCCCGCTGTCGCCCCGTGAATAATTTTTGTGTTTTGCGACCACTTCACCCCACGCTTTGCCTTGAGACGTTCCATGTTTGACGATCTCCCACACAGCTCTCGGAAACAGCGTTACAGGCAGGTGTTGCACAAAGGTGGAAAATCCGCTCACCTCAATCGTTCCCGATCCTGGATTTCGGCACCATAACGTCTCAGAATCGAAGAGGTTGTGTGGGCGTCGTATTTAAATCAGCAATTAACGTAAAAACAAAACACAAACTGTATTTACATTAATAAATCAATCGAATAGACATCATTACACAGAAGTGTCTCGATCAGCTTGTCCGTCGTTCGCCTCGTTCCACTCGTGACTCCAAACTTCTGCTTTCTTCTCGTTTTCTCGCGAGCTTCAAATTTTTTCCAATTTGCAACACCCTCGAGACAGCAGAAATGCTCATGCTGTCATGTTTGTTCACCTTGACTCGGGCACGTATCCAGGGGGGGGGTAAATGGTAAATTTTTTTTCTTTTTCGAAATTACTAGGCACGGGACCTCGAGGATTAGTAGGCCACTTCAATATGCTTCAAATCCTGGGTACTTTTTTTTTTTTTTTGTACACTGGAGGTTACGTTTGGGTATGAAAAATGATTTTATCCAGCCTCTTGTGAGTAATGTAATTAAACAGCGCTTTTTATTTGTATTTTTTTTTCATGAGAGCGATTGGGTGTGTTGGCATCACTCACTCAGCTTTAAACAAAAACAATCAAAGCTTTTTTTTTTTTTTTTTTTTTTCAGAACTATTGAGCACGAGACCTCAAGGATTATGCTACCGTAATAAAATAAAAAGTTGAATGAAAAGTAACGCGGGAAGTAATCGATTACTTTAGAGTAATTTTTCGATTACTTTAGAGTAATTTTTCGATTACTTTTTTAAGGCTGTAATTGTAATCGGTTACTTTTTTTCAATGTGTACAAGTCTGGCCTGAAGGATGCAAATTTTCACATGTTTTTGTTGTCCAAAAAACTGATTATAGTGTCGACACTTCCACACTGTTGCAACGTCTATGTGATCACGAATTCATATCTCTATGTTGCTATATCGCTGCTGAAATTGCAGCGTCTTCTGTAATCATAGAAAAAGCCTGTGGTGAGATTTGTACCACAGTCGCCGACCTATTTTTTGGACTTACTGAAAGTGGAGAAACTCCACCTTTAGTACGCACTCGCTTTCTTTCACTGGGCTCTGGCTGAGCGTGTGACGAAGCGTTATCAGAGGCAGAAAGCTTGCGCTGGAGACGGAGCATCTACCGAATTCTTAACACATAAATGACTACATAGTAAGGTATTTTGAAACTTAGGTCGAAAAGATGGGACGAAACGATTATGTCAACATCGGCGCTAAGATATGAACATTGCAAATTCACTTTTTTTTTTTATAAAAGCATGGTAGTCTATTTGGCTGATGAAGAAGACCTGCTCTGCCCTTCCTTCAACATTTGAATGCCCGGTCCTCAATGTCTACTTGTCTCCTTTCTCCTTCACGAAATGTTGCCTAGCCAATCACAGCTGATGAGCCATTGCTGATGTTTGTAGCAAAGAAAAACCACAATGAATTTAAACCCTCAAGCACTGTATACTATGCAAGAGAATTACCCTAAAATACCAAGTATGTCCCCATGTTCCAATAACAGTGATGGAAACAGCATTTGACCTTTTGTAGCAGGCAAAATATTAGTGTGGAGCATCCACTGACAATTTTGGAGCAGATGCCAACATCTGTTTAACACACCACTTGAAAATGAAAAAAGTGATAGCACAACAAAATGCACACATTGCAGACGTCTGAACTGCATTTCTTTGTCTTTGATGATGATTGAGGGTTCCTCTTTGGTACTGTACCATATTACTTATTACCTTTTTAGCATGCAAAAGGAACACACCTTATCAAAAAGAAAAAGGCTCAGGTCAGATAGGTTCCCCTTACAGTGGGCATTAAAGAAAAATATGGTAGTTGAAAAATTAATCATAGTGCTACCCTTCAGTTAAGATAGAGCCTTTCTCCCCCTCCCCTTTTACACTCAGTAGTTTATTTAGCCTATCAATATATTTTTTGTAAAATACCAGCAAAATTAGCATACTATTTGCTAAAATGTCTATCAATAAAAATATGTCCCCCCAAGTTTTATGATCCTATTAAACCCCAGATTCCAATATCATGAGTTGCAAAAACAACCACATACAAATATTATGAAAATCTACAGTTGTGCTTTAAAAGTGACACTGCACATTAACGGCATAGTAGCCAGAGTTGAAGAAGAGTTCGCTATTCTTTCGGCCAACTACTGTATGAGAACTACTTTGATTATTGTATTTATTTAAATATAGACCCATGTTTACTTTTCCTTTTCTCTGAACAGCTTTTAAAACTAGAGGTCAACCTACAATCAAGATGAAAGAAGGTCGACTTGTAATAGTACCTAGCATAATTCCCGAGCCAATTGCGCTCACTAAGGCGCTTCCTCATATCAGCCACTGCTCCTAGCACTCCGGTGAAAAGCAGTGAAGCTTGATTTGTTCCCTCCAATGGGACGTGGTGAATGTTGTTGCAAGCAGCACAAGTGCCACGGTACGCCATAGTCAAGACATGGAGGCATGTGACAGGCATAATAATCAAGTGATCTCATCAGGAGTAAAAGACCCTGGTTCTGTCTTATCACAGTAGCTGCCATCCCCCTAATGCACTAATTTTTATCATGACCTTTAGCTCCTGATATTGCCGACATTGCTGAACATTCAGACGATGACGGGCCAGTGAAGTTGAGGAGCAATCTCTATACTTCTTTTCGCCCGAAGTCAAAACAAAGCCGACACTACGAGTCAATGAGACAAATCAAGCAGTGTCAAATTTGTGACATTATGAAATTCGTTATCTTTCTCTACATATTCTTTTATCAGCTAAACCAATCAAGCGCTTTTACTTGCACTTTTAGCATGTGTGTTTGTGGTTCCCTGTGCTCGAGCCACTGACTTTATTATGACCAACAATGAAACATTATTATTATTTCGTTTTGCTTTGCTTATTAAGCTTATTTCAGGGCAAAAAATGGCATTTTGGAGCAAGATGTAGCAGATTTTCATTCATGGCAATTTGGTAGAAATGGTACAAACAAACAACTCCCTGCTTTTGAAGCCACCTAAATATAAGCAAATGTCATATCAAATTCCCAGCACAGCAGACTTCCGATTCCACCAAGCTAACCGAGAGCTCCTCCACGTCAGCTGCTTCTCCGAGTATGTCGGTGCAAGCGGCAAAGCTTTACATGCACACACAGGTGCAAAGCGGTGAAGCTTGACATGACAGCACTGGCACAAAGTGGACCTGACAAGAACTGTGTGTGTGCTTTAGAAGCCAGGGATTCCAACACACCCTTATTCTGCTACTGTACCATTCCTACCAATTAAACAAGGGCCAAGCAAGGGACAACCCTACCATGCATCCCTTCTGCTTTCAAACCTCAAAAAACACCAACACCTTTTTTTTTTTTTTTTCCAGTTTTTTTTAGCTTTTGGGTGTGCGCTTGCTCAGTATTTTATGGTATGTTTACTGGAACATCTGTACAATTTAGAATTTTGACCTACAAGTTCCATCTTGGATATGCTCTCCATAAGTAGAAGTCACTCAAAAGTTTGCCTGCCAGTTTGGCCAAAAGATGTATAATGCCCTTTCATGGGTAAAAGTACAATAACAAAATGCAAATTACCTTGTTGGCTTCAGCCAGCTTCAGTTTCGAATAGTATTCCCCATCTGCTTTCATTTTCTCACGCGAAAAATGCATTTCATCTGAAAACAAAATACTTCAATCATGAAGTAAGCCAAATACCACGAGTTTACCATTAAGCCTCACTTTCACATTCTGCGGATGCACTAAATCTTTCACATACCTTCGATGTATGACATCTTTTTCAATGACTCTTGCTCCAGGATTTTTTGGGTGTACTGGATCTTGGCAACTTGGGCGACCTTCTCAGCATCTAAAAGCGGAAATGTGCAAGAGGCATTAATAGAATACTTGCAATCAATCGAGGAAGTACAAGTTTAAGTATAACTAGGGTTCCGTGTTTTCGGACAAGTCCGCAAAACTCCAAAAAACACTCACCAACAAAAATTTTCATCAATTTAGATTTAACCAAAAAGCTCCATATTTCGAGATCACCATGGCAATATAAAAAGCAAAAAAACTGTATTTAACAAATTAATTTCGTAAGAGCACAGGGTCGGTAATCCTAAGGAGAAGCCATTTCAGTTTCCTTTGAAATTGCAGACTACTGATGAAAGGAGGTTTCTGGGTCGCGAAAGAAATCACTGACCCGGCTGTCGATTCAGACAGCACTAGTTGTGCTTCTTAGAGGGAGGAGGGGTCATGTTTTTATAACACTGAAAGCTATGAACCTGTAGATTTCATAGCAGAGGAAAGGCAGTTGAAGCTTCCATGCTTCTCAGCAACTACATCCAGCAGTCATTTCAAGGCATTGACGTTTATTGAAGCAACACTTGCTTGCAAGACTTTGTCGTAGAAGAGTTAGTGTTGCTTATCACAAGGGCGCCAACAACAGATGCAGCAGCAGAAGTATCATTCGACACAGGCTAGTTTTTAACAATTTACAGTACTTTTGTATTTGCAGATTATTCATTTCAAATATTAAAAAAATTTAGAACATAGTAAAATTAAACTTCGAATATCTGAGAATTGGGAATTTAAAGAAAATAAACTCCAATAAGCCCCAAACTTTCGGCAAAAAATGAACTCCGAAAAATATTCTCCGAATTTCGTGATAAATGAACATGTAACTTTAGGTATAACACATCAAGCCATGTCATCCTAACCACAACCAATTGTGTGTGCTGTACTTTCCATAATCCCCTTCATATTCACTTTTTACAATTATGTGAGGCGTTCTAATACTGTATTCTTTATTTACTTATTTCGACACAATCAAAATTCTACCGTAATAACCCGAGAGATAGCCCACCTAAAATCGAGCACAAAGGGAGTGAAAATAAGAAGTGGGTTAACTTTCGGTGTATACAACCAAGAAAAGTTGAAAAACAAAACTTCATATGTAGATTATGCTTTTCTGCCAAACTTCCTATCCTGGCAAGGAACAATGAAGCAAAGATGACTGCAGCTCCCAGTCAGCAATGTTCGCTTATATCCCGCCATAGCTACCTAGCCGCATTCACACCGAGATTATCACTGATCCAAAAGATAGCCCAGTCCTAGTAATCGTAACTAGGACTGGGCTATCTTTCAGTGTTTAAAAGAAAATAGCAAATCAAGTTAAGCAAAGGGGTGGGTTATCTTTCGAGGGTGGGGCATCTCTCGGGGTATTACAGTAGGCAAAAGCCATTATAATAGACAAAGAGCAAAATGGGCAAACACAAAGTAGAGCCAAGGACAATGGAAACATAATAGAAAATAAAGGGCAAACATATCTGACACATACCATAAAACCCTCAGTGTAGGAAGCCCTACTTTCCCACTAATCGGGCACGGTGAACACATTCTCAGCTCTCAAATTTTGTGAATTTTAGAGACTAGGACCCAGGACTTGAGCCAGAATGTTCAGCACAGTACCTACATGAGGCATTCCAAAATCCAATGACCTTGCAGCAAACATTACCTATTCATTGTTGAGGAACTCAGCTGACCTGTTTTCTTTCAAAAGTGTCTAGTAGCTCAAGTTTTTTCCAAGAAAAGAAGGTATCTGAGAATTGAATATTTAGAGATAAGCTATTTACGAGAGGGAAAGTTTCAGAGTTATAGTTAGCAGTCAGGGTAAAACTGATCGCTACACTTCTCTTTTTTTGAGTTTCTCCCTCTGGTTGTGTTTTACCATATATGCTATTCTTGTTTTATTTCTACGTAAGCTTAAGGGAAAGCAACCAAAAGCAACCAAACTCCTACTCCTCAACTCCGACAGTTGTTAGTTGACATGAGCAATTTGTGCCGCTGGTTGAAGCCTGCGAGTGGAAAGGGGGGGGAGGGGGATCCCACGTGAAGGACTCAAACCAAGAAGCCAGTGCAGCCTAAAGCCTTGAACCAGATGTCAAACTCTGGCAAAGAAAGGAAAATGTTCAGGATACACGACCAGGCAATAGTAGAACCTCATTGCTGCAGTCTCAGTTTACACGTTTTCTTAAACTCTAGCATTCACAAATAACATTCCCATTGAACTCCCATATGGTCATGTATGTATCGATTTCCCAATTGTTGTGCTTGCCTTCCTGGTTCTTACATCTATCAAAAAACGGGCAGACTGTATTACGACACAGTTGCAAGTTTTCGACATGACGATATCTATATGCCAAGTCTATTGAAATGAAACGCATGCATCGAATGTAACAGAATTATTTGTAAGTCCTAAAATTAAATAGAAGGAAACACAAGTGTCAGTGTCCGTGCCAAAGAACTATTAGACAACGACGAAGAACATTCCCGCATTCCTGACCCGGCTGCACCGCTATGTACCAGCCTCCTTTCTGTAGATATTACAAAGAGCTTTATGCTTTCAGGCGCCCAAGTCAAGCAGTTTCCACGCCTACCGATTCAGAAGTGGGATGGACCGCAACTGCGACCGTACAATGAAATCGTACGAGCAACCCGCTGCAACGAAAATCCGAACAAGTCATTTAGGCCTAAGGGGCGATGGGCGGCCGGGAGCAGGAGTTGCAATGAGCTGATCATCTGAGAGGTCAGCCGCCTCCCAGTGTTTAGCATCACCGGTCGACGATGTGGGACTAAAAGCTCGTTTATTCACAAGTTCAGGCCACTGCTCGCCCTCTCCCGAGCTACCAAAAAACCAGAGGAGCAGGCACGGCGGCGGAGACAATGCCAGGGGCTGCCGGCCTTGGTGCCGCTGTCACCGCCTGGTTCTGGTGCGCATGTTTGTGCGTCAAGCAGTTGTAACGGAAAAAGCGAGTGCGGTAAAATGGGAATAGACCAGTGCCACCAAGCGAAATGCACAGGTGTGCGCTTTCCGGAAGTGGTGTTGCTGCCATGAAACTTGTAATCTTTGCCTTCTGGCTTCCCAGCTGTGTAAGGCTGTGGTGCACGTATATCATCGGACATCATTGTTTAGGACACCCTGGTATCAGCTTGAATTCTCCTGCTTGTCTGTACTTATTAAGATTGCGTTGTTTGTGATGCCTTAGTTTGCCAGCAACCAGAAAAAAGCAGTTTCAGCCGACTTATCGCTTTAGAATAGCTTTGTCATCTGCTTCTTCGTATTCGTGAACGCGTGGACCCACTGCGTTCATGCGGTGGTCCCGCTGTGACCGCAGGAACAACAACAATGTCACTACTCCAGCACTCAGGCTGCTTGGGCGTCTCAATGAGCTTGAAAACAATTGAACATCTAGTTCAATGGCGGAGCACTAGAAAATTCTAGGGACCATCAGCTCGATGTAGCACCGCGGAACAGTATTAAATGTGTCAGAAGAAAACTGAGCTTGGTAGTGCTCAGGCTTCTGCATAATGCTTAATTGACAATAAAGTAAAAAGAGGCAAATAGACCTTCTTGGGGAGCAACAGTTTTCTAAAAGTCATCTCATTCTGGTTGACAGCCTGTGCGACAGGGTATTAGTGAATTGCGGCGAGAAGCCTGCACACAAAGAAGAAACAATCTTCTGAAAAACCATGCCCGATATGCCATAATAACTCACATCTGACAAAAAGAAGCAACCATACCAGATGCCTGAAATCTTTGGGTGGAGATGATTTTTCGTGTACAATTTCTATTCAGTTTTATTTTGTTTGCGCAAGCTCCAAATGCCAACAGTCGCCCGACAGTGGAAGTTTTTTTCTGCGGTCTTGATTGATGTTAATGCAGAATGGATCAGTAACGCCAGTCAAAATCAAGTTGTGGCATAATAGGCTACAAGGTGGGTGAGGCTTTTTGCTATCTTTTTGGCAGTAAGTGTTGCACTACTAAATTGCGCTATGCGGTCATTTCACTTTTTGTATGAAAAAAATGGACTGCTTTCGGAAAAGAAGTTTTATTTCAAGTGATGCATATCGGGAATCACTGCTCTTTTTTTAGTGATTGTCGTGATCTTTTTGAAGCACAGTCGTACGTGAAACATGCCACAATAACAGTTATAGCCACCAAAATACATAGAGAAAAAGTGCACAAACAGCCACCGCAAAGCAGAGCGATGGTCCCGACTGAGATAGACCAGTGGTTTTCAAATGGGGGTCCGTGGACGTTTCGGGGTCCGCGAAGTCATTTTAGGGGTCCTCGAAGCCCTGCCACATCAGTCAAGCCCGGCAATAAAAGTTGCCTTTTTTCAAATTGAGAAGAAACATTCCAATTTTTAGTTGAGCTTTCTCGTGTGCATGCTAATGAGAGAAGTCTACTTCACACAGCCTTTAGTTATATCCATTTATCAAATCATTACCAAAATTAACCTATACCCTTTCCCTTCCCCTCACTACGAACGGGGTCATCCATCATCTGTGCCAACCCTCAAGGGGTCGCGAAACACCAATGGTTGAGAACCACTGAGATAGACTAATGGATAGACTGCTACGGAGCGAGTGATTGGGGAAATTCCAACAAATGGAACACGGTGGCACGACCTGCTATATGTCTGGTGCCCTGTAATCTCACACTTTTTAGCTAACTTGCGATGGGGTGGATATAAATTCAGAAGCAAATCTCTAAACAAATTAAACAGACTCTTTTTCTTGCCACTCTGTCCAGCTCTGTTTACCTTTCTTAGCCACTCTTTTCGGAGGCTGCTTCCTTTCGGAAAGACAAAATCCGATGCCCTTTTGCCCGGCGCTGTTATTGTAGCGCCCTGGCACACAACAGGTGAAGCCACCCATTAGAAACCGTGAGTAAACACCTGAGTAAAAGTGTTATGTACTTCGGGGTTCGGGATTAACATAATACTTTATTAACTAACAAGCGGCCGGAATGACAGCAGCCTTCCATCCACACGGTTCCAGAGTTGGCTCCCTCTCACGAGAGTTCCTTAGCCTTCCTCGACACGGTCGTTACGGATTTTGTTGTTGTTTGCGAGTTTTATGGAGCAAGAGCTACGATGGCCATACTGCGCCAAACTAGGTAAACTAAAATTAACTAGAAACAATGTACCAAGAAACGTTGGATTTTTTGGGGTCCGCTATAGTTTGTATAAAATCGCTATATTTTCTAGAAAAGCTAAGAGACGGCCAATTGATATTAGAAGCTGCTCCCCTAGGAACAGGGTAGGATGAAAAGGAACACAGTACTTGAAAAGCTCAGGAAAGAAGAACTTGTGTTGTTGTAGAAGACCAGGGCAAACAAAAACATGTAGAACGGACAATGTGTCTACACAGTGGTCGCACACTGGTGGTTCCCCACCAACAAGTATGTATCGATGGGTGAGGAAGGTGTGGCCGATCCTCAACCGGCACAGAAGAACCTCACGGAAACGGCTCCGGTTATAGGAGCTTTCTCAGGTACCGATGCTTGGCTTGATGATATGAAGTTTGTTGTTATCGGCCAAATCCCACTCGGACTGCCACAGTTTTAGAAGTGAAAGCCGTATGGGCCTTGTTAGGTCTTGGTATGGTATGCGTGCGTGTGATGGTCAAGGTTACACGACGAGGCGGCCAGCCTATCTGCAGCCTCGTTGCCTGCAATGCCCACATGGCTCGGGATCCAACAAAACCTAATACCCCTCCCATCTCCGAGGCCCAGTTGAACTTTAGCACGTACAAGTTGAGTCAGCTCGTTCTTGGTTGGATTAAGTGAACATGCTGCAGTAACAACGCTCCAAGAGTCTACAGAAAGAACTGCTTTCATCACTTTGCTCCGGATAATATAGTCAAGTGCTGACAGCACGCCATGTAGCTCGGCAGTAAAATTGCTAGCGACATTATTTAGCCGTGTCACATGTGTAAACAAATTAGAATGAACAGCAGAGCCTACATACATTGAGGACTTGGCTCCATCAGTGTAAAATTGATGATAATTCTTGTACTTTTCTTACAGTGCAAGAAATTCCTGTTGTAAAATGTAAGAGGAGACATTATAATTATTAAATTTTGTGAAGTACCAATCACAAGCTATAGGCTTGATATCCCATGGGACAATATGACATGCACTTTCTATGAGGTAGACGTTTTCACGAGGCAGGCCAAGAGAGAGACGAAGGTTCTCAAAACGAAGGCTCGGGGGTCGAACAACAGTTGGCTTGTGGTCAAAGGTACGACAAAATCTAGACTCTCGGATATAAGTGTGAGCTGGATGACTAGAATCCGACAAAACTTTGTAAACATAGACTAGACTAAGGAGCTGCCGCCTTTTCTCGAGTGACATTTCGTTAGAGTCAACATACAAGCTTGGGATAGAGGATGTTCAAAAAGCACCATTTGCTATACGCAACCCAAGATGGTGCACTGGATCAAGCATCTTCAAAGCAGATGGCAGTGTGAAATGAGAGATGGCGGGAAAAACCATGCAGGACCGGATGGACGATTGATGCAGTGTACTAGTGTCAGTCTAGAGGTTTTTGCGCGACACAAGGGACAATCACAAGCGAGTAGACACGGACAAGCACTTGTCTGTGTCTACTCGCTTGTGATTGTCCCTTGTGTCGCGCAAAAACCTCTAGACTGCATCATGGACCAACTTGGCCAACAACAAGTTTTAATTGACTACTAGTGTCAGGTGGCCACTTGCGCCCCTAGCTCATGCATACTTAATTATGGTACTCAGTTCAGTTTCGGTTTTGAAAGGCGACCAAAATTGGTCCTTTGGCGCAGGCTTGGCACAGATTACCTATATTTTGGCAAAATGTAGCAGGATGTATCAGGGTTAGCCCTTTGGTGCAGTTTGGCACAATTGGCGCAGCTGTCACATCCCTGGTCGTACTACTTGTGCCGTTTTGTGGGCTTCTATTAGTTCTTCCATGGTGTTGCAGACGCCTAGCTCGAGGAGACGATAGGTAGAGGCCGTCATTGGTATGCCCAGAGCTTGTTTATAGGATCTGCGTATGATTGTGTTGATCTTGTCGATTTTTAATCTAGTGAATTTTAAATATGGGGTCGCATATACCATTTTGGAGATGGCGAAAGCCTGCGTGAGGCATGGTAGGTTCCATTTGGAGAGTCCATGCCCTCTATTTGCTGCACTCGAGATCATGCTGTTCACCTGGATCGTATGTTTGTAAAAGTTCTGTATGGTCGTGTTCAAACCATTGGTTTAAATCTAGGATCTTGATGGTGTCCACCGCCTGTATTGGGGTACCCGACAGGGACCACAACTTTATGCGCTTATTCTCCAATGGTGTTCCGTTGCCAGGGTAGATTGCCGAGAGCCCCGACTTGTGCGGGGAGCACTGCAATCCCTTGGGAGTGACATGTTTTTCAACTTCTATTGCTGTTTATAGAGAATCTTGGATGTCTCCGTTACTGCCGCCCATAGTCCACAGCGTGATATCGTCCGCATATAGACTGTGGCGGAGAACCGTGATCTGGAAGTGCTGTGGCAGATCGCGCATTCAGGGGTGAGACAAGTGAAACAGGTTTTGGAGCAATTTTTGGAGCAGAAAAATCTGGATTTTGGAGCAGCACCCACACGAATCCAGAGTCGGCTCCCTCTCACGAGAGTTTCTTAGTCTTCCTCGGCACAGTTGTTATGGAGCGGGTCAGTGGCGCCATCTAGTGAGGGCGTATAAATACACAGCAAAAGTCTCGTGCTAACCTTGAAATTTCTAAATGTTGGGCGTACAATGTGCATTGACGCGACCGGAAGACCGAGAACTACAGGTACCAGAACGCACCGCAGGAGCGATGGTGTCGCGGAACTCCCGGTGAGATCGGTCTATTGTTGTGTTTCACATCACAACAGTGTTGCATGAAGCGGGATGTGTCATTTCATTGGGGACTTTTTGTAGATCGCATACGCTGCGGATTTTGGGTCCTACAGTCGCCAGCTTAATCTTTGCTCAACGTGACGGCAAAAGTTCCCGCTAGTAGTGCAAAGCTCTAGCATATGCTCTACAAAAAGTCTTTTCTTTTCCAAAAGTAGGAGAGAACTGCTCGAGCAACAGTGTGTTGAGCAATAGACATGAGGAATAAATTTGCGCTTTAGGTGCTGAAAGGCCGTGACACGGAACATGATCGTTTGCTCTAAGCACTTACAAAAGACTTACTATGCGTACATGCCAGTGACGCTAATCGGCAGTTTTAGTATAGTGTAACTGCAGGCTATCAAGGGTACGGCAAAGCTCCTGGCGCGCGCTGGAAATCATGCTTCAAAGTCGCAGCGCGAGTGTTTAGTTGCAATGCCACACCGTACGAAAAACGGCGGTCACAATATGCTAAATCCGCACATAGACCTTTCACTAAATTACCTAAGCATCATGGAAAATGTTCAGAATTTACATAGACGCACTGCACGTACTCGTTTCCCATGCATAAAATTTTTTTAAGTAATTAACTGAAATAAGGCATTTTGGAATGCATGTATGAAGTGTCATTTCTTTTAGATTTTCGCTTTTAAGTAGTTATGTTTCCAGCATTCTTTTTGGTGCTTGTGTAAGTCGGCAAAAGGTCTATTAGTAACCATGTCGAAGAACCGTGGCACACGGCTAAGCAGCCAAGCCAAGCATGGCAGCGGACACGAACATCACAGCACATCACAGCAGTAATCGGTTTTTTGACAGTGAAACCGTGCAAATGGTTAGGCTGGCACTGACACGTAGCTTCCCATATCAAGTGGCAAGAGTGCCGCTAATGCAGCAACTACATTGGGTACCACAGAAAGGTTTGCAATTGGCAGAGCAAAGCCACTACTGCACATTTCCGTTAGCAGAGGCAAAAAAACATCAACAACTCCTGAGTAGGTACTGATTAAAAAAACTCATGGTTTAAAAGTATGTTATTCTTTTAACTCAAAGTATCTTAATTCAAAAAATTTCACTGTCCCTGCGAGCTTCATACTATTGAGAGTCAACTGTATCATGCAGTGCAATGTACACTTCCGTGATCTGGCCGCGGAAGCGTACATTGCACTGTCAGCATCCAGATGGGGGTGCCACCGACGATAAAATTATTTTATATATAATTCGCTCGTGGCCATTAATAGTCAGAGGACGCTTGTACATGCTATAACCATAAAAGTAAATTTTGAAAATTCCTGCAAAGGCCTCTCAATTTCAGTCATGTCAAAGAACTCATGTCTTGACATCCAATATGCAACATCAAACAAAGATTTTGTTACTATTCCGCAGCTCTATCTGTTTCAGCTGTTTTTTTTTTTAGAAATGCTGGTTCATATCACTATGGGAATGTACAATGCTCACAGAACTTATACAGAACATGCAAACTGTTTATCTCATAGGAACACTACCCTGGCAGTGGCAGAAGCACTGCTCCATGACGTGGCGCTCGATGAAACAGCCCAAACAGGGGTGGTCACTCGCCCAAAACCAAATTCATTCCGGCAATGTAAGCAATGCCGGATCCAGTGATGTGATTGCACACGGGGCGTTTTTTCATGCAACCTATACTGTAGACTGAAAATCAGAGCAGTCCAAATGCAAGAATGCATTACAGTAGCATAGTTTGCAATGATCCTCCAAAAAATTAGGGGAACAATTTACAATGATCTGGTAGCAACGGATAGCAGCGGGAATGCTGATAAAATAGTGTACCTATTCGCTAGCCTTGAGTGTCTAAGATGACCAGGTTATAATGCAGACAACCCCACTCCTCTAACTTGTGTCAGACTTGAACACAATGTCGCAAGCTCATTCCATAAAAAAAAAAAAAGAATAAACTCCTGCTGCTCACCAATAAGCGCCTTCTTCCGATCAGTCTCCGCATCTTTTTCTACAACCTTCTGCTTCTGCTCAGCGATCAGGAGCTTTGTCTTCTCAGCTTCCCTGCACACATATGGCAATAGAAAATGTCAACTTTGCAGTTTATCAGCCCCCTTGGAAGTATAAACCATGCAAATGACCAAATACTTTGTTTTCTCTCACAGGATATGTTCCAGAAGAACAGACAGTTTCAACTACAGTATAGACCACTTACAACGTAACCGCTTATAGTGCAGGACCGCGTATAACGCGGCTTTTTTAAACCACCGGTTCGCCTCCCATAGAACTCCATGTAATTACATACCGCTTAAAATGCAGGCGCGCGAAGGGGAATACCGGTTATAGTGCGGTTTCTCGAGCAGCGCTCCGACCGCGCCGACCGACCAGCGCAGCGAGCACGCTTCCCTGTGCGACACCAGATAACGGCGCTAGCCGCAAGCGGCACTTGCGGGGGCAAGGATGGCAAGGAGGTTGCTCGAAGAAGCGGGGAGAAGCGAAGAGAGAGGCTTCGGTTGCCATAGCGACGGAGGGACGCACGCACGTGTCATTCACGGCACAAGGCGCAAGGCATTGGCGAGCCCAACCAGCCGTTCGCGCGCGTTGCATGCCGGTCGCGGGCCGGCTTCTTCTACCCGCAAACATGGCGTCAGTTGTGATCGTCGACGTAGACGGCGTGGTGGAAGCTCATTGTTCCGCATAAAAGCGCTATCCTTGACTGTGAATTTTCGTTGTCTGTCGCTATGATTACCCAGCACGTACTAGAAGGGAAGATCCACCTACTCGTGCGGCGATGTCGTGGCGGCACTCTCAGGACGGCAGAAACGCCCATGTCGTCGTGTTTGTTTACTTCGACTACAGTGGTGCTAAGCATTTCTGTTTTCGAACATCCCCGGATTTCTTATTTGGAGCATTTCATGCCTGTGCTCAAGTTGAAGGTATTACTGGCGCGTATTGTATAACGGATGCGAATTTTCACGCGTTTTCATCACCGGAGAAAAGTGATTAGGGTTAGCAATCCTGAACGCTCGCAACGTCCGTCCGCAACCCGTGACGCCGTTAGAAGGCTGCGCCAGGCAAAAGTCGCTCATTTCTTTCAAAGTGTGCAACACACTTGAGAGAGAAGTGTACTAGTCTGGTGAAATAAAGACTTTCCTCAAACTAAGCTTTATTTTTCATCTAACATAATATAAATTGTTTTACAAAGGTAAGTTGTCTCACGGCATGTATTTTGGCCTGAAAAATTTATGTTTTGGTTATATAGCACGGTACCACTTATATTGCAGATTTTTGCAACTCCCGCGACATACGTTATATGCGGTCTACACTGCGTCAAGATTCAATTCAAGTGAACAAACATCATTCAGCAATGAGCTCCGACAGTTTCCATGCACTACCATGCTCCTGGAGATACCATGGCATATGCTATAAATAACCTGTGAAGGCAGCCTTTGATAATCTTGAAAAGACACTGACACCACCACCACCCAAATTTTGTTTTAATTGTTTGCTAAGTGATTTATTATGGTTGTCAAGAGACTACCCAATCAATATTTTGCTACAATATCCCGTATATATTTAATAAAGTAAAAAAACTGAACTGCTCAAAACCAAAAACCAAAACTGGACAGGGGAGGAAGAAGAAATATAGAAAAGGAAGTAACCAAAAATCACAAGGCTATGCAACTTTTTTTTTCTTTTTCAGTACATATTTTCAGCTTTTTAGAAACCACAATAAATGGGTATCAAATTTTTTGTCCATTTATAGTATTGAGTGCATGCCTTCGATGACCCACAACTTTGATTATCTTTGGTGGTTGTGTCTAAACCACAGAAAATGGCACGAGACCACAGAGAAGAGAGTGAGCGTGACTCAAATCGGCCAGTACTCGATCCGCGGTTTTCAGGCAGAAAGAAATAGAAATTCGAGCCGCAAATTGTGTTTTGGGTAGTTGGGCTCTCATATGTCATGTACAAATAAAAACCTTGGTGAGCATAAATACCCTGTCAATGTCCCTTTAATAAAACTTTCGGATTCAGCCTGGTTTTGCTTTGACAGGGGCTCTAAAGTGGTGCCGGAAGTAAAACTGATCATTTTCTTGTGTAAGCCAGAAACAAGGCTTGCAGCCCATCAAGTGAGTTCGGCAGAACAATAAACAAGTTAGCTTTTAAGCAATGGTTTACAATTAAGTATTACACTTTTCACTCTAAAAAGAAGCAAATGGTTCTTATGCATTATCTAGTACCGATAACGGATGGAAGTTAATAATTTGTCCATTCTAACAATTCACTCCTACTTAAATTTTGCCACAACTTTAGGTATGCCACCACTAGTGAAAATAAACCCGTTGCAAAACGTGCTGCACCGCCCATGGAGCCACAAGGAATGCCGGAAACAGCCTGTACAGAACTGGCTCTGGCAGACGAAGGAAATGTACTTGAGCAGAGGAGGGCAAGAAAGCATCTACACTACCCTTTCTCTCTTCAGTGTCATATGATAGATGCTGCGAAGGCAAGGAGAAGCATATGGCACTTTGCGCATGGCCTTTTCGGGACTTTTAAGCGAAGTCTATTAAGAGTGGGCACTTCTATTGACATAATAGTTGTATCGGCTAAGCCTAATAGGCTTGACACTCGCATCACACGTGTATGGAAAGAGCAACCTTCTGTTATAGCAGTGGCTCTCAAATGAAAGTCCATAGGCCCTTTGGGGTCCGCAAAGGCATTCTAGGGGTTTGCGAAACGCTGCCTTATTTGTCAAGCCTGCCAATAAAAGTTGGATTGAGAAGCAATGTTCTAATTTTCAGATGAGATTTCTCGTATGTATGTCAATGAGAGAAGCCTACTTTCCACTAGCCCTTACTTAATACATTTATTAAATCATTATCATAATTAACCTATACTTTTCCCTTCCCCTCACCACAAACGGGGTGAGAACCACTGTGTTGAAGGGATGCTGAAAAGAAATCTGGATTTCACAAAACACGGCGGCAAAAGCGTGCAACGCAATGCTACAAACACCAAAACACCACTCACACAACGATACCTCGAACGGATGACTGTATTTCTCAAGAAAAGGAGGCGCATTTGACAGATATGTTTACGTCTTGTTTTTCTGAGGAGGAGAGGGAACGGCCTCCCGTCTTCTCCGCCTCCCTGCTTTCAGGGGGCGAAGCCAAGAGAGGAGAAAGCAAGATATCTTGACGTCACATGCCTCATCGGCCTCGTTCAATCTCAACCTTTTTTTCCAAAAATACGGCCGTCCATTCGAGACATCGCCTTACGAGTAGTGTTGTAGGGATTGCAGCGTCCCGCCTACAGCTCCTGCATTGTTTCCTGAAGTCCAAATTTCGGTTCACCATCCGTTTAAAGTATCCCTCCCAAATCTGGAAAGTACTCTACCGACAGTGATTGATCAAAAGTGTCACGAGATAGGAGCTTCTCGATGGCCGAGAGGCTACAACAGCCATGGCACACCTAGCCAATGAGCGGGTTGGTATATCTAGTAGCAACAGAGGTTGCAATTTCACCTTTATTTTGAGGAGTGGATATATGTTTAGAAACTGGACTTTTTTTACAAAATAGGATCTGTTTAAACAATCTTACACTTTAATATCTGTCCCCTCAAATGTGGTCCCTTCTCTGTACACGCTGCTTCATTTGAGTTTGGCACTGTTGAAAGCAATGTTACAGGTCATCTTGCATCACACTCTTCAGCAAGTTAGCTGTTTTCTCCTTGTAATGGTGTACACAGTGAAAGCAGCACACATGGACTAAAAGCATCATAGTGCCTCTCATGGACAGTTGACACATTAGGTACCTATTCGATCATGCTAACACTCCTGATGTGAAAAAAAAAAAAAAAAAGCAATAGTACATATTGCCTCCAGTCTCAATTTCCTCGTCTAAATTTCCTTTTTTTTTTTTTTTTTTTTTTTTTTTTAAAGTTTTGGACAAGTGGAAGTCTTTCAGTGCATGGATTGATGTTTTGACTTTGGATCAACTAGGGCCCCACGTTTCACACATGTGGTGACACTTCCAAGGCAATCAGGCTGGTCTTTGACTTTTCCGTATATATTCTGCCGGTTTTCCCTCTGTTGTGAAGTAATTAATCAGTTTCTAACTTTGGACTCTAATGTCTATAAGCCCCACACTTAGCACAGTAACTGGCACAAGTCGCATGCATGCAACGTGCAACAAAGAGCCGGCCGATTCAAACTGATAGCAGACAATCTAGCAAAAGAACCCGAATTGGCCAGCGCTCCCTCGACGCGGTTTACACCATCTGTCGGCAGCACTTCTCTCTATGCGTGCATCGTCTGCAAAGTGTTTGCAGACGATCTATTTACCCTGTTTGGGCAAATAGATTGCCCAAACAGGGTTCTGTTTTTTTTTGTTTTGTTTTTCTATTGAAAGAGACAAGTTCATTCCTTCATTTTTTCAATGCAACCTTCCACCACCTGCTTCCACCTCTGTAGTAAATCGCAGCGCGATACGTTACGAAACCGATTTTTCCGGGCCGTTTAAAGCACCTTTAAAGAATTAGTCTACATGCCGTAGGGTGGTGGTTGGTGTGACACGGGAGGGCGCAACCTGAACCGAGCCACAAGTTCATGCAGAACAGCTCAAGACCTAGGACTGCCAGTGGTGCAGCCGAACTACCTCAGAGGAACACCTTTTCTTTTATGTTTTTATTGTAACGATCAAGATCTGCTTATTGATTTTTGCCTGCAAGTATCTACTTGGGCACCACAGGACACCATACGAGTAACGGGCGAGCGTACAACCGACCCCAATATTACAGTAGAGCTCTTGATACAACAGAACGGGGTGAAACTGTTTTGTCAACTACAGTCGCTGACCGTTTCTTCGAATTCCGATAATTCAAACTTGTTCAATATTTCGGACCCAAAGGAGGAACCGTGACTTACCCCATAGAAATAGTGCATATTCACGATCAATGTTTCGGACAGCTTGAAGTTTGAAAGTTTGATTATTCGGACACAATCGTCGCGAGCGACCAGTGGGAAACGCTACCGAGAAGTGGCCATTTTGAATTCTATGTTGGCTGCGAATGGATTGGCTTGGTTTGGCAGTACTACTTGAGTACTCCCCAGTCCTACTGCTAGGTGACGCTATGCTAGCCCTTTTTTTCTCATTTAGCTGCACGTCATCATCATCATCATCATTTTGTTTTGTTTCCTTCCATCCCTTCGCGCCTCCGCCCGTTCGCCCCACTTTCGCATCGCTATTTTGCGCTCCTGGATTTGCGCTTCTCATCTCGTTCGGACAACACTGGCTCGGACGTCATGGCCCCATCTGCTCTTCTGCCGCCGCGCTGTGTCGTTAAGAAGCGAAGAAGGTACTCGACCATAAGGCTAAAAAAAAGCAGCGATTCTCAAGCTAACAGAAAGTTGTTGAACGCAAACGGAGGTGTAACCAAAAGCACATCACGCAGGCGTAACCTGGAGCAAGGCATTATTTACGGCTTTTTTAAGCCCACTTGGAAGTAATAAAAGCAAGTTTTTCAATCTGGTGATTTTTTGGACTGCTCTATTATTCGGACGTTTTTTCGGTCCCTGCGAAGTCCGAATAATCGGTCGGCGACTGTATACTGATTTAAACGTCTCTAGAGTCTTACAGTATCAGACACACATACAAGAATAAAACAGGATGGTTTCGAACAACCCAAAAACAGCAAAGGACAACAACTCACATCATCTCATAGTTCCGTCTGATCGTTTCGGGGATCTTTGGCTTTGTCACACGCACAGCCTGAATGAACAACCCGGGTGCCATGATGATGAGGTCCCTCTGAAGAGCAGTCTTCAGATTCTCATCGATCTGGTCTGAAAGAGAAGCGATAACAGAGGTCAGTAACATGAGCAGCAGGAAACGCATCCAGGTCCTTGAAACCAGAGTAAAAAAGGAAAGCTGGCTGAAATACTCTACAAGTCAAATTTCCAAATGATCTGCAGCTATACTCCAGTGTACAACACCATCAAAGGTGCTAATGCAAGCCTTTCATGGTTTAGCCTTTGATCAGCATGCACTCTGATGCAAATTATAGATGCTAGATGAAGTCCCATGCCAATACCAGTAGTTTTGGTGGCTTCGTACACTAAGTATTAAAGGGAGGGTAACAAGCAACCAAAGCAATCTAGGAGCTTTTGAACGACAAACTGTCATGGGTTTCCTTACTAAAATGACTGAACATTTTTAGCTTGCCGAATGAATGACTGCAGTTTCCAACCTCTTCACATCCCATTTAGTAATATGTTACACTTTGTTGGAAAGCAGCCCTCATTTTGAAACCCACCGTGTCGTGCCATTGTGCCTTTTACATCTAGTTACCCTCAGGGCATTGTATGACATTGTAACTAAAAAAAATCCATCAAAAACCTACCAAATAAATTGATGTAGACCTCCTGAAGGTTATGAACGCTGCAGAACTGATTCAGTTCGTGATGCACCTTATTGAATATAAGGGTCCTGTCATAGTCCGCAGTGTAGTTCTTCACCATGTCGTACACTGAAATGAAAACCTAGGAAATATAGCAGGAGCATGAAGCACAGTATCGCAGGAAGAGAAATTACTTTTGACCACCAGTCAAAGACATGGCTCGACACAGATGGTCAGCTTGGAAACAAGCAAATGATGGGGATAACATGAAAAAAGTAATGTTAATGTTCTCACAAAGGAATGTCATATGTTATTAACGGTAGGATTAAATATAGGCCGGTCATTGCGCTGAGTGGCTCTGGTAATTATGCCAAATGGCATCGACAGATGCAAAGCACCGAGTGTGCTGAAACAACCAGTTTCTCATAGACAGCCTGTGCACCATCCTCATGTCTAGCCTTTCACATTAATAAAACAACACATATATATGACACTGAAGTGAGGGGATAATCCAAACATTTTGCACTGCACATGTGTTCAAACCTTCTGCACACTTAATGAAGTTTGAGCGTAGCATTCCACGCTTTAATTCCTTCTTCAATGTTACAGGGGCCATGAAACGAATTCGAAATCAAATTTTGTTTACCGCACGTCGTAGAAGGTGTGAAAAGAAAACAAAAACACAAAAATAGAGAGCCAAAAAACATTTTCGCTGCGTAACTTCTAAAGAAAAGCTGACTCGTTTATATCTTCTTCCCTTCAAAAGGTCTCTGCCTTTTCACTGCAATGCCTCCGCGGTGCCAAGGCACGTCTGCAAAATCCACGTCGCCTTTTGGGTAAGAAAGAGCCTACCTCACCAGCACCGCAATCATAAACAATAAATAGCCGGCAAATGCTTCTTAAAAGCTTTGTTAAGGAATACTCTGATCCACATTTTGTTGAATAATTAGCGATATGACGGAAATTGCCCAACTTTATAACGCTCGGAGCTATGTGCCATGTATCGTGTGGTAAACAAAGCAAGAGGAAGATCAGACTGCGCCTGCGCATAGCCACCTGTCTGCTGAAAAACATGTCATTGGTGGTTATAATCGACGAGGTCGGCGTAGTGGAAGCTCATCGTTCCGCATAGAGCGCTATCTTTTTGCTAAATTCTCGTTGTGCGTCACAATGCTAACCCAGCGCGTCCTGGAAGGGAAGATCCATCTACTCGTGTGGTGATGTTGTGGCGGCACCTTCAAGACAGCAGAAGTGCTCGTGCTGTCGTTGTTGTAAAATAAAAAGAAGAGAACTTGGAAATGCCTGAGCCTGGAAGAGGGAAGGGAAAACGACTTCGAAGACGAGCCGAAACCGAAGAACCAGCCCCTTTCCAGTAGACCGCTGAGAGGGACGGGGAGCCGCGGGGAGAGCGCGCCCCACCATGGGGTCACAAACGACGAGCCCCCTCTGGACCGAAGCTCGATGCGGGCGACTTCTCCCTTCTTGTTCGAACAGCCGGTCGAAGGCGGACGTGCCTTCGCTAACTTTACTTAAATGAATTTTCACTAGTAATAAACCGTGCTCTGTTACTCTAAAAACCAACGGGTCCTTTCCCTAATTCCACACTGTTAAAAAGTTGGTGCCGAAACCCGGGAATGAAGGAAATTAGGACATGACTTCAACGCAGAACATCCAACGACTGAAAAGTGAAAACGATGAACGAGAAGAAGGCAGGAGCCATCTTGGATAGCCATCTTGGATTCACCAATGGCTGAGGCAGCGAGAAGAAGGCAGGAGCCATCTTGGATTCGCCAACGGCTGAGGAAACGAGCTCCGGACCATGGAACGACTCAAAGGGAAACGAACTGCACTGCGAACACAGGTGACCAAACTCCTTTCTGAAATTGATTCGTACATCGAAAGCAATGAGAAAAACGAAAAGAACCTCAGCGTCTCCTCCGCAAGGCTTGGCGCCCTCCAAGCCCAACTGAAAGAGGTGGACGCCGCCATCGAGCCACTGGTGCCGGAAGGAGAAGCTGAGCAAAACTTTGTGCAAACAATTGAATACAATGATCGGGTCGTCACCTGCATTGCAACACTTCAGGAAGAGCTGAAGGAAGTCCGAGCAACGGCACTACGAAATTTGGATTCATCGCCGATGAGCAACAACGGAAAAGCGACAACGACTGCCTGCCGAGTGAAGCTCCCGAAGCTCGAGCTACACAAATTTGACGGCAAAAGCATCTCTTGGCAAAGAGTTCTGGGTGCAGTTCGAGCAAGTAATACACACCAACGACCAGCTAACGACTTTCGACAAGTTCGGGTACCTCAGGGCTGCGGTGACCGGCGAGGCGTCAAGTGCCATCAGGGGTTCGCCTCCCACATCACGGTGCTACGAGGACGCGGTGCTTCTGCTGAAGAAACGCTGCGGAAATGAGGACATCCTCGTTCAGACACACATGCGGAAGCTCCTAGATCTACAGCCAGTGCGAGACGCCGATGATGTCCGGGATCTCCGTCTACCCTACGACACCATCACCTCCCATCTCCGAGGACTGGAGGCACTCGGACAGAAGCGTCAGACCTTCGGTGCTCTTTTGTTTCCTGTGGTTCAGCCTGTTCTGCCAAAGGAAATCCTGCTAGATTTTAACAGAACGATCGTGAACGAGCAGGCATCGGACGTGTTGACGCTGGACGCTTCAGCCAGAGGAATGTCCACAAGATCCGAGGACTCTCAGGAACGACCAACAGAGACAAGCACCACTGAACGAGGTATCGTGACACTATTCTCACGACAGCTTGCCATTTTGAGAGTCGAAGTCCACAGCCGCGAGAACCTAGCTGCACAACAAGCTATGCACACAAGGCAACAGCCGCGTGGATTAAGGGCAGAGAAGAAAAACGAGAAGAAGGGAAGTCAATCCTCCGCAGCATTACTGCATCAATCAACGAAACCTGATAGCTGTTTCTTCTGCAAAGAAAAAAAACCATGCGACAGCTGCCTGCCCTGCTGACATTTCAATCGAAGAGAAGAAAAGACTGCTGCGCTTGGAGAGACGATGCTTCCGTTGCACGAAACCTAATCACCGCTCGACTGAATGCAGAAGCAGCATGCAATGCACAAAGTGTTCGAGACGGCATGCGACAACGATGTGCGACCCAGGTTACACGCCAACCAAGGTAGAAGCAAACCGAAATGCAATAACGAGCGCTCCAGTGAAACTGGAATCTGCCACAAGCGGAGTTGCCGGGCCAGCTGTCCTCCTCCAGACTGCAACGATCTGGTGTGCAGGAGAAACCAACGGGACGCTCGTCCGAGCTCTCTTCAACGGAGGGAGCCAACGTTCATTCATTACAAAGAACGCGTCCGAACATCTCGAGTGCAAGATCTTGGGACAGGAGACACTGACCGTCGGAGTATTTGGCAGACACCAATCAGAACGAGTATTTAAAAGGGTACTGGTTGCATTAACGGCACAAAACGGCAAGATACATAAGCTCAAAATTGTTGAAACGGACCTGATATGCGATCAGAAGATCCCTATCCCCGAACCCAACCTGAAGAAACTACTTGGGCAATTGAAAATGGCCGACTCGACTAACAACAAGCAACGTGGTGATATTGACCTTCTCATCGGCTCAGAGCACTACCGGGACCTTGTGACGGGGAAATCCAAACCACTAAAAGAGAAACTAAGAGCGGTCGAGACTGCATTCGGATGGAGTATCCAGGGTCCCGTGAGAGCAACAGTTAACGACGTACATTGTACGCAAACGATCGCCCTCAAGACATTCGTGGCAGAGGCTGAAGCAACAGACTGCTTAGAGCGGTTTTGGACACTGGAGTCAATCGGAGTGACTGAAGACGAATGAGTTGACTCGGCAAAACAACGGCAGCTAGACTCCTTCGAGGAGAGCATCAAACAAGTTGATTCCCGATACGAAGTTGCCCTTCCCTGGAAACCAAACGTGAATCTCGACGACAACAGGGAATTAGCAGAAAAACAATTGACCCAGCTGACGAGCCGTCTCCAAAAAACGCCAGACCTACTTCGCGAGTATGACGCTGCAATGAGACAGTAGTATTGTTCGGAAGGAATGACGGAACCGGTAACGAGGAACGACGTCGACGAGCAGAAGCCGACCTACTACGTGCCACATCAAGCGGTGCTCCGAGATTCAAGCAGTACGACGAGGTTGCGCGTCGTGTTTGATGCTTCATCCCATGGCAGCAAGTCGAAATCACTAAACCAAAACCTTGAAAGCGGTCCTAACTTGATTGCTGACCTTGTTGGTTTGCTACTCAACTTCAGAAGCCACAGAATCGCGTTGGTGGAGAGAAGGATGATTGAGATCCTTCAGGCAACGAGCTCCACTGCGGTTCCCTCAGTGCTGAACATTGAACGCTACAGTGATGCAGCACGCCTCTTTCGGGTGACAGCGTGGATTCTGCGCTATGTCGGAAAGCTACGGCATGTAAGCAGTAACACCGGTCAACTTACAGCCATTGAATTGGATCGGGCCGAAAAATACTGGATACGTCACGCACAGCGGGAAAAGCTGCAACGAGAAATCTAGAGTACGCAAAAAGGGGAGCGTCTTCCTTCGGACTCGCCTTTACGAGACATCCCAGTGCACATTGGCGATAACGGCATTCTTCGTGTCACCGGTAGGCTTCAACAGAGTGACAAGCCGTACTCTGAACGACACCCCAGCGTATTCAAAGCCAGAAACAACGCCAGGGAAAACTGCTGGAAGAGGGTGATCTGGTTCTTCACCATGACGGCCTGCAGCCCCGACAGCGGTGGAGACTCGCTAGGATCCAGAAGGTGTTTCCGGGAAGAGACGGCAAAGTACAATCATGCCTGCTCGAGATGCCCGAACGTTCAACGCACAAAAGACCCATACAGTTATTGTACCCTCTAGTGATTGCATTACGGAACAAAAAAAATGACGCTGTCATTTTGGGGGGGAACATGTTGTAAAATAAAAAGAAGAGAACTTGGAGATGCCCGAGCCGGGAAGAGGAAAGGAAAAACGACTTCGAAGAGGAGCCGAAACCAAGGCACCAGCCCTTTTCCAGGAAACTGCGGAGAGGGACAGGGAGCCGTGGGGAGAGCGCGCCCCACCGTGGGGTCATAAACGACAAGCCCCCCTCTTGGACCGAAGCTTGGTGCGGGCGACTACTCCCTTCTTGTTCGAACGACAGTCGAAGGCGGACGTGCCTTCGCTAACTTTACTTAAATGAATTTTCACTAGTAATAAACCGTGTTCTGTTACTCTAAAAACTAGGGTTGTGCGAATATTCGAAATTTCGAATAGTAGTTCCGAATAATTCACTATTCGATATTCGCTTCGAGAAGAACTTCACTATTCGCGTTTTTCGAAGTGTTGATTGCGGTGGGTTAGCCCCGTTGAGTGCGCTTCTTGCCGAGCACCGGTGCACTGCGGAGAAGCAATACCCGCGGAAGCAAGCTCCGCAGGTGTTGCTTCTCCGCATTACATCGGTGCTCGGCAAGAAGCGCACTCAACGGAGTAACCCGCCGCAATAAACACCTGGAAAAGTATGAATATCGCACTTGCGTGCTTGGGCGAATACCATACATTCAAAGCGGCATGGTGCGCGCGTGCCGGCTGTATATGAAAATAAATGGAAACTTTGCGAATGAGTATTCTACATTGTAGTAAAAGTTTTGAAATTAAACTGACTGTTTTGCAAGAGTATAATGTTGAGCAGAGATGCCCTTACAACCTGCGTTCATCATAGGCGAGTCATTCTTTTTTAACTCGAAATTAAAGAAAGAATATTTAAGATTTGTAAATTCACTCAATTGGGTATAGTTGGCCATTTCCATTGGATTTATTTTACGTCAAACTTGTTGTTTACTTACCATCCCAAGACATCAGACCTTCTGAGGTCACAGTTCATAAATATAGATAGATTAAACTTGGCTTATAAATGAACAGGTGGAACAACCTTCACAAGTTTCGCTGGGGTATTGTCTAAGCCTTATGTTATGGTAGTGAAAGGCGTGGAAGAACTATTCGATATTCGATTCGGAAATATTCGGCCAAAACCACTATTCACTTCGAATTCGCTTCGAACTCAAAATCGACTATTCGCACAAGACTACTAAAAACCAACGAGTCCTTTCCCTAATTCCACAGTCGTCTTTGTTTACATCGACAACAGTTGTGCTTTCTTAGCATTTGTCCCCTCGAACATGGCCCGGATTTCTTATTTTGCGCATTCCATGCGTGTGACCAAGTTCAAAATACTAGTGGTGCATACTGTATTTAAAGGCTTCGTATTAAGAATGCGAATTTTGATGCGTTTTCATTACCCGTTAAAAATTAATTAATGTTAGCATTCCTTGAACGATCGCAACGTCTATGTGATCACGAAATCATATTTCTACATTGCTATATCTCTGCTAAGATTACACTGTCTCTTGCAATCGTAGAAAAGGCATGTGGCGAGATTTGTACTATTAGTAAAGTTGTGTTTTAAAGTTGCGATCGTCCAAGACGGCGTACTGTATCTTTTTCTTTTCTTTTTTCATCCACTCTGCCCTGCGAGCCTATCCTGACAAAATAAAAGTTAACAAAGCTTGAGCCCAGAGAAAACTCTGTGTATTTTCTGCTATGCCAGTGAGTCACAGCGCGTCCCCTTCTTTTTAAAGATACCACGGAAACGGCTGTCGTGCCGACCACCTGCTGCGCTTTGTACCGGCATATATGGGACCAATCCCATTCTATCGCTGTAGCGCAACATATCTAAATTGAATTTCGCTCAGCTGTAATGTGTCCATGGCTATCGCAGTAACGAGAGGCACCGATTCAGAAAATATGTTGGTGGCATCGGTGCCATCAGCGCAGTAAAACCTTGTGGTAAAACCTACCAGCACACCGCCAGCTCGTCGCTAATGCTCCCATTCTCCTACTGCCGAGAGAACTTCCAGTTCCGGTGACAGCGCATGTTACGACCGTCAAAATTACGCCGTGGCTTGTTTTGCGGTGAGTTGGAGAAGAAAAACTCAATATTTCAATAATTTATCGAGTAGAAGTTAATAAACCGAAACAAAAACGGAGGCCTGTTCGGCGTTCAGTGAACATTGAAGGTTTAATGTAAAAGTTATTTGGCGAAAATAAAAATGTGATTTCATGGTCCCTTTAATGAGGGCAGACAACCAAGTTGAACATGTCTAATCAGTTAAGTGGCTAGAAATGTCTAGTTTAACTACCTATGCCATGTAAATGTAAATGGACCCTGCAATTAATTTCAACCATCACATGACCACAATTACGAACGCTTCCTTTAGAGTGCTGGGAGCCATTACACGAGTGACACACAATTTTTCTAAACCACTTTGTATTTTACGTTTGTTTTCTTCACTGGTGCGTAGTCGTGTTGAATATGCCTCAGTTGTCTGGAACTGTATTGGAGTGGCCAATTCAGGTTTAATTGAGAGTGTTCAACGTAGGTTTGTTCGTGTTTTGTTTGATCGTTATTTTCAACCGAATTATTTCTATAGGTATGAAAGGATTTGTGAACTCGTGAAGTTAGACTGGTTGCACAACAGGAGAACAACTCGTGAACTGACATATTTGTATAAGATTGTAAATGGTATAATTGATTCCCCAGAGCTACTCAGTCACATCTATTTGCACGTTCCTCGCAAGTCTTGTAGACTTTATACTTTGTTTTATCCTATCGACTTTTACCATGCTGGACCCATGACACGCCAACAACTGACTTATAACCATTTAGAACCGATTTGTGCGAATGCTAGCCTTGATATATTTGATGAAAAGCGTAAATTTCGACAGTGTGTTGAGGCTATTGTTTTTTCCTAACGTTTTGCTTTTATCCTGTTTAGCGTTGCATTTCTGAAGGAACAAGTGCATCACTAAAGAGGCGTCAAGCTGTTTGTGAGTCACTGAAAATAAGAAAATAAGAAAAAAAAATAAGAAGAACACTTCCATCATTCTTTTTTTGTTGTTGTAATATATGAGGCAGGATTTTTATACTTTATCATAGATTAGATAGAGAAGAGCCACTAAACAGGGTGTGTTCCTTGTGGGTGACCATGGAAACTTGAAACAATAAAGTAGGTCTAGGATCGAGGTGTGGCAATTCATCCAGCTCAACCAAAATACCATACTTACTCGAGTAACAGCCACACTATTTATTAACAACGGCCTTGCGTATACTTTCCCGCAGAATACATATACAGCCAATCATCTTGTTGCGCATAAATAACATAGCGAATAACTAGATCGAGAACACGATTCTCCATAAAATGCAATCTTCACAGATGACATCTTTGCGCCAAGACGTTATCTCTGTCCCGTAAACCGCTGCAATCGCACTGTCGATCGTGGTGATTGGCAATCCGCGTGCTCCGCGGAAAAGCAAACCCTCAGGTTTTCTTCATAAACAGTGTGGCTATTACTAGAGTAAATACAGTAATGTAGGAGTCAAGGATGCAAGCGATTTAAATGACTGCTTGGAGACAACCTTGCACTTTACTGTTCAAACCATTAGAGTCACTAAAATTGATCCCATAGCTTGAAGTTCCCAGAAAATGTAACATATACCACGCCAGTGATGCTTCATGTGACCCACTTCACATCTATGACCGACTAGTATTGAATAATCAACAAGCAGGAGCTGCTTTTAGGAGCGCATGTGGTCTTTAAACATAAAATCATTTTAGTTGCTAAACATAATACCTACACTAAAAGGTGCTCAATTTAATGGGCACCCAGGTTTCGTGTCACACAAATTACTTCTAAAGGACTTCGTAACTGGTAGTAAGATGTATGAAAAGACAACACAAACACATGGAGTTATCAGCAAAGTCAAAGTAAACAAAAGCCCCTCAACACACTGTGTTATACAAGAGAACCACTCAAATTTATCCTTACTTTGTCCACACTTGTCACCAACAGACTACGTAATAGCACGGCTGCCTATGGATCGACAAAATCATGGCAGAGTTCTGTTACAGCACAGTAATAATTAGTCCATAGTTGTGATCCTTATACACAGCCAAACACACTTGTAATTAACATTCAGTACCCAACTCACCACTGTCTGGACTCAAGATGTTCACAACTTCAATTCGATCAAAATAGATCATCACACCGCCACTGAAATAAGACAAGAAATAAATCTGGTCATAAATTTCGTTATTTGAGCATGAGCCAAAGAATGCACCAAAGAGTAATATAGCCTAAAGAAACGACCAGAAAGCGAGCTTTCTGATTGGTTCCTTGCAACCACACTGATGCAAGCTCAGTCAGTCCAGCAGAATAAAACAAAACAATTAGCATAGTACAAATGCTTGATAAGAATGGGGTATGCTTGCTTAGTTTAGCATGTCCAAAGCCACTTCTGCAGTGGCAAATTGAGTAGTTTTAAACATAGCCGCCTCGTGAGAAAGGACGACCAACATGCTCCAATAGCCCTCGACCATAAATTCAGTACCATGCCCCCATGGTGCCTTGATTTCATATGAATACAAACTATGCTATAAAAGCTGGAGATGTTTTGTAGGTGGCAGCACCATCTATGAAATCCTATCAGCATAAATCTGTATGATAAAAGATGTCAATGAAGGATCATCATAGCTGAAGCCAGCCAAACATGCTGCAGAAAAGCTTAGGTCATATATTGATAAATAGGACTATACCATAAATACGAAGCATTCGCCCATTCCACAATAAGCACCGACCCCTCAATTTTGTAACATTTGAAAAGTACAGAAGACATATCTTCACAGACTGCTGATGTAAGAAGTGTCCATCCACCAGTTTTACGCGATTGTCTTCAAATTTTGAGTGGGTGCTGGATCGGGATTTTACGGTAATCGCTTAACTGGGAAGTGTGAATGTCGCTGCTCTGTGCACTGCTTCAAATAAGTGTTGAAAGTGGATTTCCACCATATCAATTTAACACCATCAAAACTGTTGTCAACAACAAACCACAAGGTATTTACTATAGTTTCGAACAGAGAGCATGGATCAGACCTCCCCCCCCCCCCCTTCTTCCTCCTTCCTTCCTTTCCCCCCCCCCCCTTTATGGACCAGCAACGATCAGAATGGTTAAATGTGCTTGATACAATACACAAAGATAGAAGTAGCCCATGGAAGGAACTCAAAAACAAACACCCTGGAAAGCCTCAGACAGACAGCCAACATAATGAAGACTAAGTCTTGTTTAGAACCCCAAAGGTGCAATCTTTTAGCAAAAAGCAAACTGCCAATTAGCGTATGCCCTGAAATAAGAAACTTAAAATAGCCGGTGACACCGTTTTCTTACTCAAACACTCTTGGCAGCACGGACCTTTGCTATCATGACAGATAACACGCTATTGGGAAAGAGGCTGTTACTTGCTGCTTGTCAAACACTCTGCAGAAAAAGCTAGTGTTACGTCATTGAAAAAATTAACTGTGCATAGCCGAACACTCCGTATGGACCTGATGCCAAGGTTTTATAGCTTGCAGTTGCTTAAATCATGGGTTATCAAACTGGGTTCCGCGGAGTGCTCGCTTGGGTTCTGCAAGCACAGGAACCGACTGAACCAGGCAGCAGATATGAGGCTGGCCCTAAGCGTGACTGAGCCACGCATCGATTCGCTGTTGCGATCAAGGCAACCCCACCCTTCACACTAATATGTATACTGTCTTTCACTGTATTGGAACCCTTCAGTCTAACGTGTATTCCGCTCTTTATTGTTTTATCTGTGCAATAAATATTTTGTGGACTCTTCTACTGAAAGTGTATCCAGGCAGCAAAACACCGGGGAAGGGGGGAGGGGTTCTTCGGCACCCTTTAAAGGTTGCTGGGGTTCCAAAAGCCAAACTGGACGTTTTAGTGATTTATACAGCGTAAGGTTGGTCTGCCAGTAGGGGCGACACTGGTTTACACTGTAGATGAGCAATTTCGCCAGTGCAGTACGACTGCTAACATGGGGTCTTTAACGTGGTCACACAGTAGTGATACACGACCGCACGCCGGTACGATGCTCATCCAGATCAAAACGGGCAGGGGTGGGGCTCGAACCCAGGATCCCTGGGTTCGAGCCCAGGGGTCCTGGGAATGTTGACGGCTGCTGAGAACAAGCCCGATATTCTTATTAAAATATTCTGGCAATCACTTATAAATTTTTAATCAGATAATGGCAAGCTCTGAAACTTTGCCATCTGGTCTGGACTGCTAGAGCTGCATTGGGGCGAACTAGGGTGCCTACATGTTTCCGCTCCGCTTTAGGGTGGCGCCAACTTCTTGTTACCCTTTCCCAGACCCTCTCCCACCACCATTTTGACCCACTTCTTATTTAGCTAAACGTACACAACGTTGAGTTTTCGTAGTTTCGACACACCGGCAACACTGTGAGGCCACTTCCGTTTCCGTTCACAAGAGGAGTCGGACGGGACGAGTCGGAGGCTCAGCGGGATGGCGGTCGTCGTGGCTATCGCTCTCTTTATTCGGGTGTTTCATACTTTGAAGTTGCGAGCAGGAATTATGCGTTGCGTTTATCGAAACGTGAGTCCCCTCGACAAAATGGAACGCAACAGACCGGCATCGCACGCCGAAACCTTGCCGTCGGAACGAGAGCAGTGGGCGCTCCTTAGCCCTAACGAGGATTAGCGTAGTAGCGCGAGCATACGACTGGCGAGCGTGACAAAATGGTCGACGAAACAGCGGAGGCTGCCATGGTAACGAGGTAGGCAACACTGGTTTGTCGGCAACAGGTATCACAAACGTTGTCGCCACCCTAAACAGCAGAGCGGCAGAAACACGTAGGCACCCTAGGGCGAACAATAAGCAATCAGTGATTCATAGTTTATTTTTGAGGTGGAAAAACACTAATTTTTTTTGCCTGATACACTGCAAGCTCGAGAACATGCAGTGATGTGATTGGCCTAAGCCATTTTGGAGCACCTTTTGGAGCAGCCAAAACAGTGTTTTGGAGCAGAAAAAGTGACTTTTGGAGCATATATCTTACAAAAATAAATATTTGTTTTAAGTGCTGGACAAACGAAGGACACTGTATTGTGTTGTGATGTGACGTGTTGGGGCGGAACTCGCTGCTTGTGTTTTTGCTGCTGAGATATCCCACAAGTATACAGTGCTGTAGACGTTGCTGAGCGATTCCGAAAAAAAAAAAAAAACTTGCTATCGTTTTACTGGTTCCCGACGTGGGAGATTTTTACAAAAAGTAAGCAAACGTAAAAAAATGAAATTGCAAGCGTCCCGGCTGGTGCCCCTCGTGAGGGCAACTTCGGCAGGCTTGCAGTTACAGGTGCTTAGTCGCGTGAGCGGAGACAACGGCTGTTCGACCGAAACCGAAACCATGTCACTCCGCGCAGTCGGCAACTGTTTCCCAAAATAGTATGTAAAATGTAACTGTCCAGCATACGACAATAAACAGTCCAGCGGCGCGTGCTTGCCAGGCCGACAGGCGAGGTGCAGGCTAAACACACAGAAAAAAAGAACCTGAGCGTATCGATGCAAGACATTGCGAATCAGGGTCAAAAAGTTCTTGGAGCGCTTTGTGCAACGACTGAACTCGAAACAAACAAGCGCGGTGTGCGGGATCAGCATGCAGACATTGCCTTCTTTGCTTTAACTCACTTCTCGTCATCAACTTTCTTTCGCGGCAGATTTTTCACGTACCGGGGTCCCTCTCGAAAGAAAGCCCACCGAGAGAAACCTAAGTAACCAAAACTTCGCCAGGCAGTCATTGAGTTAAACAGGGATTTCTATAGCAGCGTATGATTTAAACAAGAGCAGGAATGTCGATGCGTTTCAGTTTAGAAAGCGCCATATCTGCAGCGACGTGGGAACGGCAACACACGACGTCGCGGGACCACGGCAACTGTGGTCGCGCGAGCGCTTCAGTTCACAAAGTAACTCTCGCCGGGCAAAAACGTGGTTTTGTTTCACAGCATGACGGCATGGCTGGCACCCGGCACACTAACGTCGGAGCGTCCGCACACGGCCGCGTCTTTCGCTAAAACAATTTCAGAAAAATAAAAAAATAAAGAAAGACGTGAGGCAAGATTTCCGAGACGACGACAGCGCGAAACGCGAGACGGTGGGAAAAATCATGCAAGACCGAATAGACGATTGATGCAGGGTACTTTGTGTCGGGCGGCGTCTTGTGCCACCTAGCTCACGCATGCCCAGTTACGGTCCTCAGTTTAGTTTCGTTCTTGAAAGGCAACCAAAATTGGTCCTTTGGCGCAGGCTTGGCGCAGATTACCCATATTTTGGCGAAATGTAGCAGGATGTAGCAGGGTTAGCCCCTTGGCGCAGTTCGGCGCAATTGGCGCAGCAATCACATCACTGAACATGACAAGACGAAGGCAGAGGTAGGCAGAACACGGCGCAACTCTCGACTGAATAATTTAATCAATCAATTCACACTTTCTAAACCCCAATATAGTGATTGAAACTGCCCACTGCTGCATACCGTCTCATCTTAGGACATACCGCAGGGAAGGCTAAAAGCCCGAGCTCGTAGCTTTTGGCAGTTGTTCCTGCTGCATACAACAAAGGTGCGTCCGTGAGCAAGGAGCTCGTGCTTGTAGCCTTCACTGCTGCATATCTAAAGGTGAAACATAATAACATCACACTTAACAGGAATTCACAATAGGCTTCATATTGGCATTTTGTTGCTTTCTACACCTGCGTGGATGCTGCTGCGAAAATGGTAAATTTTGTGTCTCCTTCGGGCTTTTCTATATTCATCTAACGGCTTCAGCAGGCAAAAATAGATTTGCTGGGAATGACATGCATCAGTTCAGTCAGTACTTCAAAGCCCGCTTGCGACTACAGTTGAACCTCGACTTAACGAAGTGACCGGACCCGCCAATTATTTTGTTAAATGGGGAGCTTCATAAAATCGAGAAAGACATTTTTTGGGCAAAGATTGCACGGGGAATCCGAATTTGTTCGTTAAATCAGAAAATTCCTAAAATTGAGTTTCGTTAAATCGAGGTTCAACTGTATTTTGTGGGAAATAAGCACAGTACGCACCGCTCAGGCTTCTTCCAATGTGCGCGTGTGATCCTGGTGGCTCCCAAATTCTCTGGTCGCATAAGCATGCATGCAGCTCATGTGGAGAAACCCCATAGACATTTGAACCACACATATTAACTGTTTACGCTGCACACAGCTTGCCTATGATGTCATTTTGGAGCGATGTAAGCCGTGGAGTGCTATTTGCATATGTAAAATTAATATGGTAAATGTAAGAATACACCAACTCAAACCTCCAACGTCCCACCACTGTGGTGGCACTGCTGTTGTGCGCATTTGCAGACGCTTCCTTCCCTTCCCCTTCCTTTCCTTTCCTTTCCTTCCCTTCCCCCCCCCCCCCCCCCCCCCCCCCCAAATGTGGTTTCTGTGCAAGCGCAGTGCCCACACCTGGTGTGGGAAAATGCAGACTAAATTATAAACAGTGTGTAAGTGTATAAAAAAAAAAAAAACAGCAGCAACACGAAGCAACGTCCATTCAAGGTATCACTGAATGGGTTAATTTGAGAATGAATGTTTATAAGGCATTAAGCCCTATGACTTCCACGGAAATGTCGCCGGTGAATTCACTTACTGTACAGCTCAATGCACTAATCCCAACCGAAACGAAGTTAATTATTAGCAACATGCATAAAAAGGTTTCATTAAAAAAAATAATCCACCAAAAAAAAAAAAAAAGATGTAAACTAGTTGTAGGATGCTAAATTGTTTACCTAGTTCCACATGGCACATTTTTCACCTCATCTGTCTGAAGGGTTACCTGAAAGAACAATTTAATAAAGAATAGAAAAGTTTGCAAAACTTTGAGGGAAAAGAGTACTGAAAGAAAAATTCGCTCGAGGTAAATCTTTCAAGAAACCGAGTAAAACTTACTTGAATTGATCTGAATGTTGTAATGAAGGGTATCATCATATGAAAGCCTGGACTACTCGTTTGCTTAAGTAATGCACCACCCTGGAAGAAAACAAAATCGGCAACAGATTAGAAACACCCATGGAAACTGAGCATCGCTTCATAAAGCCGGCAAAAACCGTGCTTACCCTGTAGTAGACGCCGACATGACCTGGAACATTGGGTAGAAAACAAACACAAATGCAACAGGCAGTTAGAAAACCTCGAGACAGCAGAAGGTTACGCTAGGAGCTGTAGGATCGAGGAACGACACTACAGATTTAGAGATATCTCATGGAACCTACCTTCATCAATCTTGTGTAGGGAAAAATTCACAACAAGAAACAGAACAAATGCAACTGAAAGAGCTGCAACACCGGAGTTCGGCATGGTATTTCCTGCACAGAAATAATAAATGAAAGGGCAATCATGCCTGCTCAGTTCGTTGAATTTGGATGCACATCTAAGAAGGCGTTTCAAGAAATGGGCGCGATATTTGCTCACCAGTTTCGCTCTATCGATGTGACGATGATGCACAGCTTACAATATTATGAGCACGTTCAAGCATGCAGCAGACACACGCTCTACAACCAGGTTTCCTTAAAACAACAACTCGTAAACACTACTAAAAGTGGAACATAACACAACAAAACGTCGGCAAGGCAGCACCTACACCGACATGGTGTCCATGGTGTACAGTCAGGAACTCGTTCGCCAAAAACTCGGTTCCAGCGTTGCCGACACTGTTTCTGCTGCCCGATAATGACGACGGCGAAGTAGTGCGGTTTTAATGGTTATGGATGGTTAGCCCAAAAATTACAAAACCAAGAAAAAAGCGACTAATGTTTCTTAGTGAAAGCCACAAAATAAAATCTCAAATGTTTAACACTACGTTAACTGCACAAGTTACGTCATTCATGAAATCAAAACCAGATCGAAACACGTGCGAGCGAAGCGAAAGCCACCAAAGTTGCGTGTGCGAATCTGTGCTTTCATCATAGCTGCCGTACATACATTGCTCGCACATAAATTGAAGAGAACTTTTGTCGCCAGTCCTTGCAGCTCTGGATCCGCTGCTCCCAATAAAACTATAAAAAAAAAAAAAAAAGAACGATAAGCACACGCGATTTGCGGGACAGTAAACATGCAGCCGATTCTCTAGCGCTCACGGACACTGTACCACCAGGCGACTTTTTCTAGTTGTTTTAGCCTATAAATAATGTAAATGAATTAGTTAAAGTTCAACGACATCCTCAACAATGAATAGGAGTCTCGTAAGAAATCATTTTTGAGCGACGACGGCGGTGGTATAGATATATTTTGGTTTCTTTCGCTTTCATTTGTAACTTTTTGCGCTCTATTTCGTGGACATAATTATTATTTAATCACAATTTATTTCTGTCACTCGGTGACTTTTTAGTAGCAAATGATCACGCCCCATTGTTCTACATTCCGTCCGCTTTTTGGCGTTGCTTTTCAGAACGTACCGCCTTTTCTGCTATTTGTTCCCCGCTCTGCTTTTACATACAGCTGCAGCACGCAATGCTATTAGTTGCTTTATTTGCACCAGCATTCCCGCCCAGTGAACTATAAATACCATTAAGATATCCCAGCAAGTTTAGAACACCCCAACCCTGGCAATACGCGTTGGAACGTCCCTGGGTCATCCCAAAGTGGTGTCCGTTTTCTACTCACAGAAGGATTTTTTCTAGGCATCCTAGGAATGATTAATCAAGACATAACCTGGATATAACCTTTGATAGGCCCAAAAACATGTAAATGCTACTGCAATCCACCAGAGCAAAAAAATTATAAATCTGGAGAGCCTCCATCTCCAGAGGTGTATGGAGCACCTGTGCTCTTCATTTATTCGATGACATTTGACTTTAACATTTTATGTAGGCCTGTAATTAACAAACATTGAAAGTGCTATAAAATAAAGAACTTTAATAAGTTATTAAGATAGAAAGCCCTGGGGCTTTCTATCTACGTTGGTTTGGCGCATCACTCCCTCTTTGGGTAAGTGCCAGCAAGTGGTACCAACCACGCCTGGAAATTACGACATTGAAATAAATCGCTTTTGCGAATCACTTATAGCAGCCACGGGATACTGCAGCTGCCTCCCACGAAGTCTGTTGTACGCACGCTGACGATTGAGATCGCGGAAGCACAGCCGATTCCGCGTAAGGTCAGGACCACCGTGGTCAGGACTCAGGACTGTATATTTCGCTTCACCACAGGTCAGTCTCACAAAAGGGGAGCTCCGGTTTCAATTTGAACATTTTCAACTAAACATATTTTTCTGAAAGGGCAGAAAAAAACTGGACCTGAAGCAGCAAGTACATTTCTCAAACATTTTTAATATCTTTTATCGCAGAAATGCTGTATAACCGACACCGAAACTAACCTGGAACTTATCTGTCATTTTGTTGTGACGTCAGATGTTGTTTTATCATCTGCACATGAGAAGCCTGAGCCCGTTTCGCCAGCGTCAGAGGCAGCCAGAAGGCCGTCGCGATCGTATTGGGAAATAAAGAAGGGAAACACAAATATAAAACTAAGCTAGGGACAGCATGACTTTTACACCTTAACATAGAGCAACACCGATGCACTGCCCTTCAGCCCTTGTCGGTTGTAAAAATGTCTCCTTGGAGCCGACGTCGTGCGGCAACTAACTCAATTTGAGTAAAGGTTTTTTGTTGTTTTTCATTTAGATAGGTCTTATGTTACTCAATGTTTTGACATCAGTTCAAGTCACTGTAAGCAAAAAGTAGTGTTTAAAAAAAAGTGGAGCTTCTTTGTTAATTATTGAAGTGCATTTATACGTGTTTATTTCACGTGTTTCGTAAATTTTCTTTGATAAAAATATTTTAATGTAATTTTTAGCATTCTGCGCACATGATGTAAACTTTTTAAGAAATGAATTAAAAAAAAAAAAAGAGAAGAAAACACTTTACTGCGTGCATGCTTCGGAATGAAATTGACGGATGTGCAAAGTGTCATAGAGAAACCCTGGCAATCTTCTCGACTCGAGCTTCGAACTTCCATTTCTCCGGAAGAAAATTAGCTACGGCGTTCGCATTTAGCTGAATGCTCCTCCCAAGAAAATAGCTTTCTTTTTTTACATAAATATGTAAAAAAGGACCCGGACATGCATCATTGCACGATCTGACGTGGAAACACGCTGCGGACATCTGTGATATCAAGTATAAGCGTTTCGGAGTTTTTTCCCCCTGCCGTTTCTGTATCCTTCTTCTTTTTTTTTTTCTTTTAGTTTTTAGTTTCAGTTTGGCGTAGTTTGCGGAGACGTGTGTTTAGCATCTGGCTAACACTCTTCAACTGTTGCATGCTTCATTTCTCAAGAAGAAATCAGAGACAGCATCGATAAGAAATAAAATTTGCATTAAAAGAACTGGTTTGTGGAATGTGAACAGGGAAAAGAATCTGTAAAGGCTGCGCTATGCGAGTATTCTCGGAAGCCACGAACGGGCGATGCAACAATTTTAACTTTAAAATAATCAGCATTTTTTTTACTTTTTACATAGTTTATCTTACCGGGAGGGATGGAGAAACCGCCTCGTTATTTCGAAATATTGTGATTCCGTTGCGTAATAGCAAAGCAAGGAACGGAAATATTTCGCAATTTGCGGCCAACCTGGAACCTGGGTCAATAAGTTGGCGAGATGTGCCAATTTGGGCTCAATCTAAGTCTATCTCTTATAAATATTGCCGTTTCAAGACGAGTAAATGCGTCCATTGCCTGATAACATCGACATAATTGTACTCTAATCAGTTTTAGCGACGTCATCTGCTCGATGTGAACAAAACCATTCCTCTCGCGAGTTTCACCCCGCCGCCACTTGGTCAGTCCGACTTCCTTACGGCAAGGCAAGCGCATCGCCCCTACATCCCTCTCCCCTCCCCCTCTCCACATCGCTCAGACCAACACCAATTTTTCTGCGTCACTAAAGAACGCCACCGAAGGCTTGGACACGACTACGACGCCAGCGTTTGGTTGAGACTCGCGCTCTCGCTGATAGGAGACGCGTTCCGGCCGAATGTGGGAGCAGCACTCGCGTCAAACTTGTGGCATAGATGGCCTTCTTTAGCAACGCCTCCTTACCTAGGAGGCGTTGCTCACGCCAACCTTCAAGGTCGCCATGTCTGCCAACAATCGCCAAACTTGTTGCACGGCCTCTTTAATTATCTGCGCGCACAGGTAGAGTGACAAAATGCTGAGGCAGTGATATGGACGTGGCGTAATCAGCTCTCGCTTACGGAGGCGAAACGCACTCGGTACGGCTATAGATTAGGACTCCCGCGCGAACATAAAAGCGGCATTTGTGATCGTGACTGGATTGTGCTTGTGGGATCAACCTTCAACGAAGAACGAAGACTCCCAAGGTAACTTATCCCTGGGTACATATTCACATTTGTGCGCTAGTTGTCCATATAGTAGTCAAATTTCGAAATTCAGTGACTGTTCTAGCAGATAGATTTCAATTTTAGTAACAGATCTGTGGTCTGGTTCGACTACTGATTGCCGTCAACCACGGTCAAGTTGAATGTATGCCCGAAAAATATGGCTACGTGTTCGCTTTTTGAGCGCGTTTACTCTAAAAGGCCCAAACACAAACAGGGGTTTCAGTGCTGTTCAGAAAAGTTAGAACATAATAGTTCCATAAAAAAGCAGCTCTGTGTCGAAAACTGATTGATTTTTTCACAAAAATTATCTTTGTTTTTCCAGCTGTCGAGTTTCCCAAAAACTGCGCATATACTTTCACGTATCAATTCATTCACACCATTGTTACAAAAAGAAATGTTTAATTTTTTTTTTTTTAAAATTGCGAATTCGCTGTTTAGGGCAATTTGCATCGTAAGAACTGTGACGTAAAGCAGCATTCGTAAGTAAATAATAATAATCAATCAATCAATGTTTTTATTGAAGTGCCCAGGAACAACCTTGCGGTCTTAGTACAGGTGCACTCAGGAAACATGAAAAACAACACTACACACAATAAACAAACAGTAAGCAATAAAACACTTAAAAAAGATCACATATGTCACATAAACTCGCTAGGCTATACCACCACGATAGCGAAAGGAAAGGAAAGCGAGAGTATAAAAATTGGTTCAGAGCAACTTAATCAGGTGCAAAAAATAGGAAGCCAAATTTAGGTGAGGAACTTTAGCGCTCTGATGAACTCCGGTGTGTTATTGTTAAATATATCAATAGAGTCTGTAAAAGAGGAATTGTAGGTGTGCCCAATTCTCGACACGGGGTCGTGAAGATTAGTTACGGGAGCATTGTAGAACGATGCATTTTGCCTTGTAGTTTTTACGGGAATTTTCAAACGCACATTTGATATCAATGATGTGCAGTCAGTGATGCCATGAATAAGTTTGTACAGAAATAGGATGTCGGCATGTTCTCTCCTACGCCGCAGGGTGGGCAATGCCAAGCTATGTTGGACTGGGACTGCTGGATCATCGTTTGAGGTTGACGCATTGCGCGACGAGAAACGATGTCTGTAGATACATAAGAACTTATTCGGAACATGTTCGATTCTAGCCGAGGTTGTCGCGCAGATTCCATTCCATACAATAGAGGCATACTCGACGTGTGGTCGACATAAAGCACTGTACAGTGTGACAAAAGTACTAGTGTTATTAAACTCTTTAGTAATGCGGCACGTGATACCAAGCGTACGTAAAGCTGAGCTCACAATATGGTCAACATGACTCGAAAAGCGTAATGTACTATCAAATACAACTCCAAGGTCTTTGATTTCATTCACACGTGTCAAAAGAACTGACTGAATGTCATAAGAGAATATAATATTATGTGTCTTTCGAGTGTAGGACATGACTTTAGTTTTCGAACTATTTAGTTTTAGGGCATTCTGACTGCACCAGTTTTCGAATGCATATACATCATTTTGTAGCAGAACACAGTCGCGTTCGTCTCGTACCTCTATAAACATCTTAATGTCATCTGCATATTGTAGAAAGGAAGAGTGACGGATCACAGCCGAAACATCATTCACAAAAACTGAAAACAGAAGGGGGCCAAGAACGGAACCTTGAGGTACACCCGTCGTAGCCTGATAAGCAGCAGACGAATTACCATTCGAGCTGACAAAACACAGTCTATCACGCAAGTAACTTTTGAGCAATAAAAGTAACGACCTGTGGACATCAAGCCTTGACAACTTTGCCAGCAACATGTCGTGATCTACAAGATCAAACGCTTTGCTTAGATCAAAGTAGATTACATCAAGTTGGCCTCTATTAGAGACGACCTGAGCAGCAGTTGACATGAAACAAGTGAGGTTAGTCGTGGTTGAGCGACCCGCCATAAAACCATGTTGGCTAGGGATGATAGAATTTTTGAGCTTAAACGACAATATTTTGTGTAAAGCTGTTTCGAAGAGTTTTGAAAATGTACAAAGAAGAGATATAGGCCTGTAATTTGAGATGCTTGTTCTTGAATCGGACTTATGTACGGGTACAAGTGCTGTTTTCCACATATAATAATAATAATAATAATAATAATAATAATAATAATAATAATAATAATAATAATAATAATAATAATAATAATAATAAATTTATTGCAGGTGCTTAAACGTCCTCAGAGTATCATTTCGGGACCGTCAAAGTCCTAAAGACTTGTAGGACTGATCCCAACAAAATATATACAAAAGCACGCATAACAATGAAAAAAAATGCACACACACACAAAAAAAAAGAAAAAGAAAAACAGAACAAAGAAGTTACAGATTCAGAGACGCGACAAGGTAAATATTGTTAACGACGAATTGCACAGTACAAACTCATTACGAAAAGTCTTGAAGGTTGGCGCTATTTTCCTATGGACGGGCACATAGTCTTCAGTTTTCTTTTTAACTTCCCACGAGAAGTAATGTCACTCAGCACAGGTGGGAGTTTGTTAAAGGTGTTTGGAACATAGTAACTCCGAATGCATGTCCCAAAATGAGTACTAATTCGCGGCGTGGCATATGGTGCCACTTTCCGAAGGTCACGACAAACCACGTTGGGAATTAAAGGTATTGTCCCAGTAATGTCGGAGTATCACGGTATGCAGAAATAGGGCTCGAAAGGATGGTAAAGAGAGATCGTCAAAGATGTTGTCGGATGTTTGAATATTGGAGCCATATGGCCACGCTACGCAAATGCCCTTTAGGAGAGAATTCACTTTAGTTTCTAATAGGTTTGTGCACTGCCCGAACAAGGTAATTCCATATCGAAGCACACTATAAACGAGTGCGTGCACAATGAGTCTTCGGGTTGACATGGGGATAAATGTTTTTATATTGTAGAGGGTGCAGGATGCTGCTCGCAGCTTCTTCATGATGTAGAAAAGATGGGAGTTCCACGATAAATCAGAGTCAAAATAAATTCCTAAGTATTTTGTAGTGTTCACGTAATCTACTGGCACACATTCACAAGAAGCACAGTCTGAAGCGTGCAGAAGTATTGGCTTGTTTAAAATTACTCTCTTAAGCGGACATCACATCACATCACATCACATCACATCAGTTGCGTTTTTTTCGTGTTAACGCTAATAACATTTCTCGAAAACCAATCCATGATCTTAGTTGAATCAAACTGCAGTAATTCTACTGCCTTACTATAATGTAAATGACTTGGTACTAGAACGGTATCATCTGCATATTGAAATATCTTACTGTGTTTCACTACCTGGGAAAGGTCGTTGACATAAATATTAAAAAGAAGAGGCGAGAGCACAGACCCCTGAGGTACGCCAGATTTCAAAGATATTTTAGCACTGTATTGTCCAGATATCGAAACTAACTGTGTTCGGTTTGACAGAAGGTTTTTAAACAGGGAATAAAATGGACCCCTGAACCCTAAGCTAAGGAGTTTTTTCAAAAGAAATTTGTGTGACACAGAGTCGAAAGCTTTCGAAACATCTAAGAAAAGCGCACACGTAACAAGATTATTTTCGAAGGCAGTGTTCAACAGATCGGAGAAGTCCTCAAGAAGAGGTTGTGAGCCTTTTCCAATAACGAAACCAAACTGCTGTGGAGAAAAAAGATTAAATTTATCCATAAAATCAGTCATTGTTATAAAAATATGTTTCGCCAAAATCTTCGCTATTGAAGGCAAGATCGAGATAGGGCGATAGCATTCGACCTTACCGTGATCTCCACTTTTAAATAAAGGCTTTACAATGGCTATTTTAAGGTCGTCTGGAATTATGCCTGAAGCTATAAAACCGTTCAACATCCGTAGAAGTATATTTTTTTAGTGAGTTGTAATTTCTGCACAGATCGGACATTCGTACACCATCAATTTCAGGAGACAAACGAGGTTTAAAGCTCAACAACAGAGTTTGTAGCGCTTGCTCTGTTATTTCAGGAAGGAAAGCGGACGCTACATTTGGAATGATTGAGAGCGAGACATCAACATCATTATCGCGCGATATGCTTGAGGTTTTTCCGAAATAGGTGTTGAAAGCATTGGCGGCAGATCATCATCATCATCAAATTATTATTATTATTATTATTATTATTATGATGATGATGATTCGTTGTGTAGCTTTGATCACAAGTTATCCGCTGCTATATTGTCACGGGTGGTGACCAAAGGAACACTAAATAAACAGAAAGAAAGAAACGTTTAATGTGGCGAACTTGTGCCAAAAACTAAAAGGGTACAAAGATAATAACAGAGCGTCGCGGGCGTCGAAGTCGGCGTAGCAGCACAGTCGAACGCTGGGGCGAAACTGACTGCGGCTCGCCACGCGGAGCCCCTTATGTACAGTCGGCGGCAAAAGTTTGCGGGGCGCGGGAGCGTCAGCCGGAATGACTAGTTGCGCCCTCTGACGGCGCGCGGCCGTTCTCAGGATTCACGCTTCGAGAATGTGCTTCCTTTCGTGCTCTCTTTTTTGCTCGCTTCCGCCCGACGTGCACAAGATTACCGGGACCGGCGCCAGATGCCGCTATGACAGCCATCATGCCGCGCGTCTACCTCAGCCACCGTGATGGGTGACGGAGCACACGCATGCTGCAGATAACATTTTGCGGCATCTTGCGCCAGTCCCTGTTATCGCGTGGGTGTCGAACGGAAGCAAGCGAAAAAGCATGACCGCGAACAAGAAAGAAAGCGCATGCGCAAAGCGCGAGTCTTGAGAGCGGCAACGCGCCGTGAGAAGGCGCAACCAGTCTTTTCGGCTGGCGCTCCCGTGCCCCGCAAACTTTTGCTCCCGACTGTACATGCGTGGTCTTCTGGAATAATCGGCGAAGAAACTTCGACGCGTGGAACATTCGGGCCTGGAACAAGCAACATGATTCTCGAATTCTCCAGAACACTAAATTAGAGGAATAAACAAAAAACATGTCGCTCCAGGATTCGAACCCTAGCTTTTCGCG